CCAACGCAACCCGCCCCTTCAAGCGCCACCCCCCCATCCGTCCCCTAAGGCAACCCGGGAGCGAAAGTGAGGGCCGGGTGTTTGTCAAGGGCCCACCTAACGGGCATCAGGGCGTTACTAACACCCCCCTTCTCCCATCAGCATCACCCCCACACGGGTCCCACGCACGAGTCACATCCCCCTAAAATGCCACTTTAAAGCTTCCCCCCCCACACCCCTACCCCCCCTCCCCCGGACTGATAACCTCCCTCCCGACCCCCACCCCCCCACAGCAGCAACACACCGCCGGAAGTCGACCAATACCTCACCTTATGCTAGATCACCCTGCCGATCGGGCGACAGCGAGCAAACCAACCACTACACAAAAGCGTAAAAGAAGCCCCTTAACTGTCCCGCCATCCATCAATAAACTGTTTTGAACCCCCCCCCCCCCCCATTCCGAGCCCCGAATTGCATCACCGACTTACGTGCTGATGATCCTCACCCCACAATAACATGCACTCGCGAACCCCCCGCCTCTAACGACTTCGCTATGGACCAGACCCCCCTCGCCGCACGCCCAGAAAGGCCTACCGCTCCCCCAAGACTAGGGGTCTTCCCGTAGGCACGCCTCCAGCCCGCGCACGGACTTCGCACAATCGCCGCTTCACCCCCCCTCGTCGTCCTGCACAGCACACCCGTCAACACCCCCGAGGGGCGCCTGACGCGAGACTACCACTGCAGCTGCTCCGCCGCCCCAACCAGAACCCCAGGGAAGAGACTCTACCCCCATTGGTCCTCCCCCCGCACTCCCGGGAACAGGCTACCAGCTCGAAAACACGATCTACCCACTGCCCTCCCCGGGGCCGTAACCGACAAGACAAAACGAAGGTATGCCCAGACATCGTCCCCCTTACCCCCGCGCGTCCAGTGCGCACACCCCTCCCCCCAACCACCCCAACGACCGCACCCCCTGCATTCCCCGAACTAGGTACACCCCACACCCCCCTCAAAATGCTCCGTCCCTTGGGGAATAGACAGGTCACGGGGCGAATGCAGGACGCCGACATCAATTGCCGTCCTCTCCTGAGTAAAACATGGCCGTCATAAACCACTCCAGGCCGACTCACGACCGGTGTAACGTGAAAGCTTTTCACCCCCCGACTCCCGCGTGAACGTACACCCCCCGCAGCATATCCCCCCCCCCTCACTCTACTCAACTTAGCCCCCCCCGCTTCCCCCCCAATTGACCACCCCCACCCCCCCCTACCGAGGGATGTGAACTCCTCGGCACCCAAACGGGCGTGTTAACCCCCCCCAGCAAACTCAGTCGTGACCCTCCTATTGGCTACCCCCCGCGCCCTGCGTCCTAACAACAACTCCGACAACCGTAACCCATACAGTCGCTGGAACAACCTTATCCCCCGTCCCACCCAGTACCCCACCCACCCACGGTATAATACCCCATCCCGAAAACCAAACTAAGCGCCATATCCCCCTTGGATACCCCACTACACGCTAGCCAGAGAATTGCCACGCCCCACCCCCCGTCCACGCACACACCTCAGAACCCCCACCTACCCCCAAGAACTCAGATCGCAAGCCCACCAAGCCGGCTATAACGCTCGAGTGGACAACTCCCCCCTCCACGGGGCGCGTTGACCGTACCTGTATGCCCCCACCCCGCGATGGATCCGATACTAGGGATCCTGATGATGGTAGCACAGTCGGACAAGGGTCACCTTGCAACCGTCAAAACCATTCGACGTCCCCTCCTGGCAACCATCCCGAGCGATCCGGAACCCCTATCGTTTGCACGGTCCCCACGTACCCACGGGCCAAGCCCATCTTACTTGAGACCCATATCCTAAATACATATGCCCCCCACAACCGCCGTAGTAAAGCGGATTCCCACGCATTACCCCAGATCACCTTCGTATCCGGTCAACACCAGAGGCCACTGCTCCCAATAGAAAAACAAAAAAGCCTAACATCCCTGATGATGACCGAACTGCCGCGCGACCCCCTACCTAAACCGCTCCCCAGCGCCCCTACTGTGCCCCCCCCACCCAAGGACCCAAAGCGGGATTCCACACCTGGCCGACGCTCCAGCTACACACGCAAGTTCGCCCACCAGGCCCCACCCGGTTCGAGGCCTTGGCACATGATAGCAACAACCCCTAGGAGTGTCATCCGGGGCGGGTAGGGCGGTAGTGGTGGGTGGGTGAGATGGATGGTAAGGTACAGGCCCTAGCTCCGAGGCCGACGCACATCCCCCGCCAAGCGCCCCGCACCTCCCTGACGGCCCACCCGCTACTTACATGAAAGTTCCTCAGCCCACTTCGAACCTTAGCGCCCCTTCCAATCCGTGGGAACCCCCTAGGCAACTCCTCTGGCCGCATGGCCCGACACCACCAACAAAGACACCTACGCTACCCATCGAGACCCTATCCTCCTCAGTCGCAGGCCGTCCTCCAGAAACCCCCCAGGCGAAGATCCTCCCTCTGGTATCCACCCCACCCCCCCCGATGCCCCTGCAAGCACCAAACCCGCTTTACTCCAAACCTCCAGCAACCGTCCGAACCGCACCTCCCCCTCCCCCTCCCCTCCACCCGACAGACCACGACCCCCCCGCTGCCCCACCTCCAACTGACCGCCCCCCCCCTACCCGGATGCCCCCCCCCCCAGACGTCCCACCCACATACGAGCCAGCACTGCCTCGCAGCAGGTCAGTCCCAGCCTTCAACGAAGTGTCCAGCCCAATGTCGCCACCCCGAACCCCCCACGTACCGACCCCGCTCGCCCCGAGTCGCCCCTACCCCCCTGCTCGTTAGCCCCTTAAGCCCGCCCCCCGCCCCACCCAACTTGTTCATCGGATAACATTCCCCTACGCTCCCCCATCCCGCAGTCACCGAACCATCCCTGACCCCCAGCCGCGCCGCGCCCGCCTCTACCCGCAAGAGGTGGACCGCCCCGACACGCCGAGAGATCCTAAACCATCGGCCCCCCAAGCCACCCATAAGGCCCCCCTCGAGGCGCTGCCCCACCCACGCCCGCCCGCCCGGATCTGGACCCCAGAAGCCGTGACCGGATCCCCCACAGACACGTGCCTCGGATCAGTCGCACCGCCCCCACCTCGTTCGTCTTTTTTCCGCCCGCCTTTTACCCGCCAGCCCCCCCGGGCCCCCGCCCCCCCCCCCCTGCCCCCCCCCCCCGCCACCCTCTTTTAGCCCTTTTTTTTTCCACCCTCCCCCCTCCTCCCCCCTCCATCCCCCACGCGCCCCCCACCCACCCCCCCCCCTCCCCGCCCCCACCTGCCCCTGCTCTTCCCCGTGCCCCGACCCCTGTCTCCGACACTCTCTCCTCCCCTCCCTCCTCCCCCACCTCCCCCGTTTCCCCACCCCCCCCCCCACCCATTCTCGCCCCCCGCCTCGGCGTCTTCGACCAGCCTATCCAAGCCGAAAAAAAAACAGAAAACTGAAAGAAAAAGCAACACACGACCCACGCCCGCCCGCCACCCCCCCCCCCACCCTCCCCTCCTGCCTCCACGCCACCCCCCACCCCACTCCCCCCCACCCTGCATATCCTACACCCCCGACCCTCCACCAATAAGCCTCAACCCAAGCACAATCCTCTTCGTACTCAGGATTGCAACAGCTGCATGGCTACTCAACAGTACCGGTGCCTATCATACCTAGAGTTTCATAAAATCGCGGCGAAAGACGGCAAATCGATCTTCGATTGCAATCCCCTACGAAACTTTCTCAGTCTAAATACACACAGACTGTGAGTCTCACAGTCTGTGTGTATCTCTCTCTTTTCCTCCTCCTCCGTTGTTGTTGTTGAGAGAGATACACACAGACTGTGAGACTCACAGTCTGTGTGTATCTCTCTCTTTTCCTCCTCCTCCGTTGTTGTTGTTGAGAGAGATACACACAGACTGTGAGTATTTAGCCTGAAAAAGTTCGAAGGGGATTGCACTCGAAGATCGATTCTGTCCTTCATCGCCGCGATTTATGACCCACTAGGTCTGATAGCACCGGTACTGTTGCGTGCCAAGCAGCTGTTGCAATCCTTCGTACGAAGAGGATTTGCTTGGGATATACAGGTAGTCGGACCGGAACGGGAGCCATGGTATTGCTTCCTGCGGGACACCCAGCTACTAGAGCGACTGAGGATTCCTCGGTGTGTTAGGCCGAAGCCATGCACCGACGACGACATGCAGCTGCATTGTTTCTCAGACGCTTCAGAACATGGATACGGAGCGGCAGTTTACGTCAGGATTGTTGCCCGAAATAATCAGATTTGGTCTACTCTCATTATGGGAAAGTCGCGTGTATCGCCGATAAGAGCAGTTACAATACCGCGTCCAGAATTAACCGCCGCGGTCCTTGCCGTCCGGTTAGCCATTCAAGCACTTGAGAAGTTGCAGCTAGACACACCTCTGATATTTTGGACTGACTCGATGGTGGTGCTGCAATTGATCCGGTGCACGACCAAGAGATTTACAACGTTCATCGCGAACAGACTGTCCGAGATACATCAGTTCTCCGACCCGAAGCAGTGGAGATACGTCGAAACATCTGCGAATCCAGCCGACATAGCCTCTCGCGGATTACGGGTGTGTGATGGAGTTCAAACGGGGAAACGGTACGGTTGTATATGTACTTGCCTCTCAGTAAGAGCGGTACACATAGAAATAACGCACGCCAAGAGGTCTGTGGCCAAAGAGCATAATAGAAGAAGCGAAGGCTGGGCGCGATGGACTGGTCCGGGAAGTTCTGATACGTACAAAAAAGGAACATTACGGAGAGACGTACGACAAGTGTGTCTATTAGAGGAGACTTTGGACGAAGAATTCAGCGAGGAGGCCAAAGACGCTGGGGGAGTGTGAATTCTAAATTCACGATTCTGAACTATACTACTGCACATTTACCAGTAGTTCAATTTCTTTACATTTTTCCCGTTGGACGGTATGGTACTCGAGTTTACCTGTTCATGCACAAAGGTTCGGCTTTAACAAACTGATAAAACCCTGCAATTTTTCTGCATTTATTATCTCTCTTTTTTTCTTTGCTTAATTGTTGTGAACTTACGGTTTGCGTCTCATCGGTTGTAATTTATTTTACTGTGCCAATTTTACGGACTATTCGCCATTTGCGCAGACTTAACTGCTGACGTGGAATAATTGCTGCCCGAATTAGCGAGTCGCATTACCTATTCGTGAGTTAATTGTATTCCTTTTTTGTTTATTACTGCTATTGTAGAACCACGGTTATTCAGTATACTCATTCCGCCCACTGCCCTGCATTTTAACTGCCCAGACCGTGCGTTAGTTAGGTGATACGATTAGCCTCATACTCTCTGCCGTAACAGTGCCTATCAGCCCCGACCCCCACCGTACAGATCCAGTTCACCGCGCAGACGCAGTCCATCACCCCCTCGCAGCCGAACCCGAAGTATTAATTTATTGGATGATTTGTGTTGGTATCATCGCCAGTATGATGATAACGCTCGACGTTGCCGTTCACCCTGCGCCAAGCGTGGTGCAGTGGCACAGGGAAACTAGTTCGCCGGCACGTGAATGCGGCCCACGCGTCCGGCAGCAACAAAACAGGCCGTCCTTAAGTTTCCGTACCATCCGCAGAGAAAACGGGCAGCTTAATCCGTCTGTCTAATGGAAAGCAACATGGTCCGGGCAGCATCTGCATTGCACTAGCTGCATACCAATGCGATACAAGCGGACGCTCGTGAGTACCTTGCTTAGCAGTGCCAGGCGAGCCTGATCCGCTGCTTGCCTGGCTGACAATTGGCAGTTGAGTACCAACAAGTTCATCGAAAAGGGCTATTCCACAAGGTTCATCGAGAAATATAGTCAAGAGCGACCAAGAGGCCGGTTCACACGGTACCTAAGAAGCCTGTAGTCATTGAACTGTTATTCAAAGGTGAGGTCTCTACTTTAAGGATCACAAGGCAAATGATCTGTGTCATGCTGACAAGTTACTATGGCATTGTCCTTTACAAAACACAAAAGCTGCCACTTTCTTCTGTAAAGCAGACTCAGCCAATCGAGGCCAAATCACGTTACATCAACTAATTCCTTTGTAACTGCGGCTCCAGTTACGCAGACAGGATCAAAGGAACATTGATTTACCGAATGAAAGAGAATGTACCTAAGCGGGTTCAACGTTCGACGGTGCAAGAAATTGGCCAGAGACAAGCTGCTTTTCTGATTAAGCCACCAGCATCTTCGATGGGCCGACACTTATTGACCACAGGTCCCCGAGTCGGGACCAATTCGGCGTTCACCATCCTATTATAGTACTAAAACTTTCGCCTCCCGCTTTTCGCAAATGCGATTGCAATTAACCGGATGAAGCAGCCGCTTTATGTTTAGAGCTAATTATGAGTCAGCATTAGACTGCCCTTGGAATAGAGTTGACAACCCTGTCCCGCTTATAGTGTGCTGGTCTGTTTGTCTTCTTACATGTATGTTTGGTCGCAATATTCACTGAATAACTATTATAGCGTTATGGTTAAATGCACTGATAAGACAACACGAAATGTGTGCATTTGCCAGTCTTCGTCTTCGTACTGCGCTTTTCCGGTTGCATAACCGTTAGTCAAACGACTTCCGATGGAAATTTTACCCAAAACTAGGTTTTATAATAAGTCCCTTTGATTTGTGTCCCTATAGCTTTGGTAGCCTTAGTAACACTGCGTGCCAAGCAACCGTTGTAATCATTCGTACGGAAAGGCCTTATTTGGGCCCCTTAGGTGGACGGATCGAAACGCGAGGCGTGGTATGGTTTCTCCAGAGTGACCTATCGACGCGCACCGCTGCAAGGCACACGGTGTATCCGATCAAAGCTATTGGCCGGCGACTATGTACAGCTCCATGTTTCCACCGACGGTTCAAGAAATGGGTACAGTGCGGCCGTTTAGGCTGGAATCAACAATGCAAAACTCCACTTTGAGCATCCTCATTTTAGGAAAGTCACGCGTCGTCGATGCCTCCATTACAGTTAACAGCGGCAGTGCTTGCCCACCAAGTAGTTATACAAGTTGCTGAGTAGTTGCAGCTAGAGCGAGGGCCGACAGTGTGCACAGACGCGATGCTTATGTCATACCAGATTTGCGATACGACCCAAAGTTGCACAATTTGCGTTGCAAACAGGTTAACGGTGGGGCATTAGTAGTAGTAGCAGTAGTAGTAGTAGTAGGAAGCAGCAGATGTTGGTCGTAAAATTGGTGAATCCTGCAGGTATAGAGCCTAGTGGATTGCGGGTGAATGATAAAGTCCGAATAAGAAAGTAGCTTGACAGGTTTACTTCCCCGGGCTTCGGAAGGATGCATTGGCTCCTGGTACATGAATATTTGGGAGAAATTCCAACCGGCTGGCAGAAGCATGAAAGGGAGGCAATTCTAAATTATTAACGGAAACTTGGCTGTTAAATAAATAAATAGTTTACCCTCAATTTTATAGCGACACACCAATCCAGGCATGATCGTAGGTTCTTTAGCCATAGTAGCTGGGTCAAACTAAAATTACTTGTGATTATACCGCACAGGTGTAAGCGGCACTTGATGAAAAGATGTGGAAGCTAACTGAGTAACGTAACCAGGGGTCGTTTGCCGTTGTCCGAACACAAGGGAACAAAAGCGGAATAAGAGCAACTTGTGACCAGCTCTTCATTGAGCATGCGATTATAGTACCGTAACGAAGTGGACCGAACGAAGCGGTCAGTTACTTGAAACGTTTGTGTTTTCTTTGAAAAGACCTATGCCTCTTCTTGCATAACGGTGTACCACAAGTGCTTGGTACTTAACACTGGGCCCGACCGCCGTACGACGCTAGGTATCCCGTTCTGCTTCCCTTCCAGCAAATCCTGACTGGGCTGATTTTGTTAACCTTCCATGAAGGAAATGAACCTGTCGGTTATTTCCATGCTTTTACAGACTTGCATCAGCGCTATTGGACACTGCGTGGTATTTCCGACGCTCGCTACTCACTGAGGCATTGCGCACTCTGTGAGGTCTGGAAGGCCCGGCCCTGAGAACATAAGCTAGCCTTTCTCATCAAGGAGTCTTGCATAGCATATCAAATGGCCTCTACGGCTGTTAGAGTTTACTACTTTGGGTCATTCTTTGAAAACGAGCAACAAAAGAGAGGTATGCGGTTTGGTTGGAGCTTCACTTTCCTCTGTGTGAGTCCTGGTTATCAACCTAATGCATGCTATGGTAGGCCTAAATAAATAAATAAATAATTACATCCTCGACGAAACGGGGCACACTATTACAAGCACGAACGATTGGTGGACAGAGCCATAGAGACACTAAAAGCCTGTGTATACTACACGACAGAAGTAGGTGCTGGCCTATTACAGGGTTTGAAACTTGCACATCATTTTGCACAGGAATGATGCAGGGAGGAAATGCTTGTGCATTGATGTCTAAGAGAAAGGTGGCGCCGAAGCACCG